GACCAGGCAGTGTTTCGTTCTGTTGTGCATAGGGTCGCTATGAGTCAGTACTGACTCAATAGCACCTAATAACAACAATTTTCAAAGTACACTGCCTGATACAGAGACTCTTGATATCTGAAATGGATATCATCAAAAACCTTCTGAACTCACAAATGTACAAATATTACTAAATATATCCACCTTAGGAAAATTACTAATTAGCCAATAAAAAGAAAATTACAAAGCCTGATTAAAATGCGTATGTTGAGTAAGTCAATGTCTATGCACTAGCTACTCATATTTTGCCTGAAGAATTATGAATTGTTTCCTCATGAGCCTTGCAGCTTATTATAGACAAAACCATGAATGAGAAACCCTTGAATGCCAAAGGCCTGATCTAAATATCTGAGAAAAGTATGAATGAATGAAGAAATGAATTCAATAAATTTCCTTAGGATAATATCAATATGATCCGTCAACCAAAATACAATGTTTCCCCTTAGGATTCTTCCTAGAGAAATGAAAACTTATGTTTATACAAAAACAGTATCTACGTGTTTATAGTAGCTCTACTGATAATCACCAAAAACTGGGAACAACCCAAATGCCCTTCAACTGGTGAAGGGATAAACAGATTGTATTACTTCCACACTACAGAATACTCAGAAATACAAAGTAATCAACTAGCGGTACACATAACAACTTAGAGGAATCTCAAAGGCAATGTGCTGAGCAGAAGTCAATCTCTATGCACTATGACTCAATATGTGACCTTTAAAAAAAAAAACCAGCGATGATGAACATTTTTGCCAAGATTAAGGTGAAAAGGAGGATGTGACTATAAAGAGTAAACATGGGGAATTTCGGAGGATACAGTATACTGTATCATGATTGTCAGGTGGGGGTTGATAGTGATGTGTTTTAACATGTTTAAAAATTCACAGAACTGTATAGCAAAAATGGGTGAATTTTACTGCATGATCATTTAAAAAATAAACAACATTTGCAAGAAATCAACTAATTTCACACACCCATTCTGAAATGTGTGACAATGTTATTATATATAGCCAATTATTTACATAAATGTATTGAACAATGTTTGCTAAAGGTAATAACTTAATAAAATATAACAGATTACGTGATTTAAAGTCTTCAAAACTCTACTCTGTAATCAACAAAAGACTTACCAAGTTCATTGAGACTCTGAGCAGCTTTCGTTATCTCTCTGCTTCCCCCTTGCAGCTGTCCTTGAAGTCTTTTACTGAGATACAAGATGCGGATTATTCTCCGAAGCAAATCACAGGCAACCTGTGTAAATATCACAGTGTTAAATAACTATAGTCAATCCATGAATTTTATTACTGTTACCATTAATATGTGAATCTGTCAGTTCTTCCCAGATACTAAAGATTCATTTATGGTATCTCCCCCTCCCTGCTCCCACCTACATGGTAGAAACGAAATTATCACAGATCTGTAAAAGAATCAGATCCCCTAGAGAACTCACAGAAGTAACACACTTATCTTTTACAATAAATTCCAATTTATAGTAAAAACAAACAAACAAGCATAAACATTGCCACTGAGTCCAATCCAACTCAAAGGGACCCTCTATAAAGGATTTCCAATGCTGTATATTTTCACAGATGTGTTGCTGTAAGATATGATATCAAATGCAAGGTTGATTTGAACCACAAGGTCAGCAGTTCAAACACACCAGCTGCTCCTTGGAAACCCTATATACAGGGTCGTTATGCATTGGAACCAACTCAAGGGCACTTACTAACAACAACAAATCTTTACTGGAGCC